CTTTAGGTTTTCACATTTAAAGAAACGTCACCAAGTTTCCTCGACTTTTCAACGATAAACTGAACGATTGCCTCATTCGACAGGGAAGACGTTTTAATATTGAATTCTGTATCGTCAGAAAAGAGCACTTTCAGTTGAAATTGCTAAAATTGCCTAATACTGGGATTTAGTTTGATTAGTTCTTAGCCTCCCAGAAAACTGAGGATGAGTTTATGTTTATTACTCACTCGTGGTAGTTTCACAAATGAAGGAACAATTTCAGATATTTTCATTGAATTTGAAAAGAAAATCCTAATGACTCCTTCAAGACCCCACACAGTCAAGTTTCCGTAAAATGAGCCTCTTGTCAGAGTCCAAGCGGGACCAATACAAGTGGATAAATAAATATATATATATATTCATCTCACGCTTTGTCACTTGGTTGCTTTTAACCAGTGACGTATTGGGAGTGGATTAGTTATAGAAAGGTCACGAATTTAATGCGATTCAAAGAGTTTGCCAAAAGTGGCTGACAGCCCACTTTGTGAGTCAATACTTCATCATAACGAAGCATTGACGGCGCCGCCATGTACGCCGCTTCAGTGTACTGCAATGAAATGCACTTGGTGACTTAATCACATGTTAGTAAGTAGGGGTTAAAGGTCAGCACGCTCCCTGTTTTTTACCTGGTGGGAGTTATTGTGACTCTCACCGGTTCCCAGGATGCAGAACCCTTCTGGCTACAAATTAAAAATTCTTTCTTCGTCCCTATTTTGTGGCAGAGGGATAAATGAGTTTGGCTTCCTGTGTGGAATCTGGCATTATAATGAATACAAACACAATAAAGGGAATTCCTGTCAGAAAACCTTGGATAGTTCTTGGGTTGCATTGTAACTTCAGCTTCCTGTAAACGTGGCCACTATTTTTGGTGGAAAATGCTGCTTGGGTCTGTGATAAATTTGTGCGTTTCGCAGACCTTTGTTTCCTTTTTTTTTTTGACGCCTATGTAAAACATCAGGGTATTACATATGCACATGTTTTAACTCTGAAAAAAAGGAGGCGTCAAGACAGGCTCCATCCACAATGCGTGTCTGTACACATTATGACCTTTAGTTGTCAGATTATGAGGTCAGATTAAATATCCTGTTTCAAAAACGTATGCAATATGCATCGATGCACAAAAGCAGGAGGCGGTGATGTAACATCGGCACTGTGCGCTGAAACCATCCGTTCGTTGTCTGTAACCAGTTCAACCAGTGAAAACAAAGCCGGAGCCTCTTTCATCTGACCCTGAGTCAACGGGGGGAGCTTCCACGTCTACGTACGGTGGAGGCGTGTTGCTCGTGAAACGCTATTAAAATGTCGAGGTATTTCTTTTCAAAGTGAAGTCTTTCTCACAATACGCTATCCAGTCGCTGCCAGCACGCGATTTTATCCTGTGAAAAAAGTCAAGTGAGGTCTTATGACCCATGAAGGCATGGTAGAAAAAAACCCTCTGAAACGTTTGGCTTAATCTCAGAAGGTTTGGGGGAACAAACCTTCTGAGTTTGAAAAGTGGAAAAATCAATAAACAGTTAAATGACAAAAACTTGTTCAAAAGGTTACAAAAAAAATAAAAATTTGAAAGGTGTTTTTTGTGGCGGAAGTATTGCATTGTATCGCATCGTTATCTGCCAGGCACGTCGTCATTCCTGAGGCGTTGCTGTTTGCCATGTCTATTAATAATTATGTAGAACACGTTGTTTTTTCCTTTTAATGCATTAATATCAACCTGGAAAATCTGCGGGGGTAAATGGGGTGTTTGTCAATGGTATCAATTTCACATCAGACAAAGTCTGTGGGTGTTTTTTTTTCCAGACAAGTGTAAAACCAAGGTGCTTACCAACCCTAAAGTATATAACTTTAACAGTGAGCAATAAAATCCCACTTCCTCAGTGTTTCAGAGTTTATTAGGAACATTATTGCGAGACACTTTATAACACTCAGTCTTAATGGTTGCAGCACCCCTCGTAGGGCCATGAAAGCATTAGTTTTAAAAAATAATGACGAGGCAATCTGGCAGCAAGCTGAAGAGCAAAACTGAAAGCAAATCATTATTGTCATCACTCTTTGATTTTGTGCTTCTCTGTCACCTTTAGTGATGACTTAAACTTTATTTTTATTATTTTTGAAAAACTGGAAATCAAAGCAGATTTCATTTCTTTTTCTTTTCCTCTTGTGTTTGCATCGTGGATGTCACCGTGAACAAACAGCAGAACATAAAGGTTGACGTTTTGCTCTCAATTTAGATTTATTGGCGAGGTGTCATTTCGAAACAGACTCCCATCCCAAGGTGCTCTACAAAGATAGCAGTCGAGCTCGATGGAAAACGGGGGTTAAATCAAGCCGAGCGCAACGCAGACCGTCTGTCCAGTGGGCTGCATGAGGAAAAGCGGCCGACGACACGCTGGATGTTCGCTGCGCCGCGATGCTGAGCGACGCGCATCAGTGAAGTCTGAACTGCAAGAGCCGTGAGCGGAGTCAAGAGTAACGAATCATTTCCATATCATTTCTGTCACAACGTCAAAAACGACATTTGTTACTTGTGAGGAAAGCTGGAAAAATTAACATGCAGTTCGTTCAAACGCATCCAATAATATTTAATTGATATTTAATTGGATGCAATTCAACACAAAATGATCTCCAATGCAGTGAAACTGAGTTAATAATCTAGTGTTAACATGGAAAAAAAAAAAAAAGTTACTAGCCTAGCCTGCGTCAGCATCCGGTCTGTATTGACAATGTGCTGATGAAGTATTATGTGTTCATGTGTGAGATGCCAACTCTTACTTAGCAGGCTTATTAGCAAGTGAAGCTCAGTAAAATGAATGTTAGTTTAGAAAACTGATTTTCTAGAAAACTGTTAAAGTACACAAAAACATTTTTTGCACCTTTATCTACACTTTATTTAAAACAGCGTTTCAAATGATGACCACTCTCTTCTCAAGAAGCGGTGGAAAAACCACAAACCTGAAAGCCTCTCCAGAAATCATCCTGGGGGAAACAAAGAGCCAGCAAGCACAAATGAATTGCCAGTTACCATAAATTAAAGGAGAGCGCTGCAGATGAGAGGAAATGAATTAAGAAGAATGTGGAGCCTTGTTCTCCATTATAAAGGTCCCAAGTTTCCCTTAAAACAGTTTCCTGGATTAAGGGAAACTGTTTCATCAGCTTCTTGCACATCTCTGCATTTACCCCTCCAATGATTCCCCTTTGCACGATATGGACTCCCCCTGCTGTTCACGCTGTCGCTTCTACAGCATTTCAGTTTTCATTATATCTACAAAATTATTAAATGTGGCTTTTAATAACCGATCATTTGAAATGACAAAACCGACATCAAGCTTCATCTCTTGCAATAGTGGGGATGGCATGTTGAGGGTAATTTGATGTTAATTTTCCTCCAAGCAAGAGACAAAAACATTTGAAAAATCAATTTTGGTGCGATTTGTTCAAAGTGTCTTTATCCGCTTGTGTTAAACTGTCTATCTGGGCTCTGTGGGGGAACGGGGTGGGGGTGTCGGGGGTTTCCCAGGGTGGCATAAAGGTGCGGGCGCCCAAACCTAGAAAGTAAAATATATCTTATGTCAGTTATGCACTGTAAAAGCAAACTATAGAATTTACCCTAAAAAAGTGAGGTAACAATTTGCACTGTCCCCGTTAAGGTATATTCAGTTAAATATATTGAGTATTAAGTAATTAACTTAGACATGTAAGAAATACTTAAAAAAGTTGGGTAAAATGTACCTCATATTTATGGTTAAATTCAACAGGTATTTAGTCAGTTAAAATAGGTAAAAATGTGTCTTGTTTGCTAGTAAATCTTAGCTGAAAATTAAGAGTTAAAGTTAACTGAAATCACTGAGTTACCTTTACTTATTCAGGTAAGTTAAAATGTAGCCCCAAATAATAGATCGAGATGATACACTTTTACAATTATTTTATTCTAAGAACTCATGCAAAAAGTACAACACAGAATTAAGTACAACACAGCAGTGTCAAGAAAAATTCCAAATACTTAAACCGCAGTATAACATCTTCAAATATTTTTTCAGTAATGTAGGACTATAAAACATGTCAGACATCCAATCTCAGGAGTACATCAGAGAAAAGGACAATTCAGGAGAACAGAGAAAATTAAAGGAGAAGTGAGGTGCAAGGGATAAAGTCTTAATTGTGTTTCCTCGGCCTCACACAACAGTGACTGAGCAAATCTTCAGATGTGCAGGTGTATTTAAACACAACAAATAACAGAACTATAACACAACATTAACAATAAATGAATAAAGTGCAGTACAACAGCTACAACATTTAGACATTTCATAACACATTTTATAACACACTGAGCTAACGGCTACATATGTTGTCTCTGGATAAGTATTTAATGCAACCAAACTTTAAGAGTCCCCTTATTCTATTCCAAAAGCTTCAAAACCCACACACAAACTGAAATACTTTTTTTTTCTGCGTGTGTACAGTACTAAACATCTGGATGAAGGCAGATCAGAAAAACAACAGTCCTTAGTTAATATCGTTGCACTCATTCAGGTAGAATGACAATAACAGAAACAACGAAATTGGGAAAGAGGTGATTTTTAAATTTGTCAGAATTCAGTCAGTGTTAATGACCAGACTGTCCAGTTTACATTGTTTTTCCATTTCTGTCAATGTGGAGAAATCAGAGAACAATGGAGTGGGCTAAGAGAGGCTGCAACATATGTATCCACATATATGTCTGTGTGTGTATGGAGCAGAGGACAGAACAGAACAAAAATAAAAAGCTATACTACCTTAAAACTCTGTCCAGACAAAAGATCCTCTTGGAACAGGACGGAAAATGTATGCCTTGAGCTTGTTCTTCAGACTGTGGACCTTCTTCAGTAGTTTTGCCCCATCAATTTCCAAAAAAGTTTTGAAAAGCTTCAAATGTGTTCTTGAGCTGCTTTGGATAGTCCAGGTTCAGGGCAAATATGAGTCCCATCAGCAGTACACGTCTTTGTTCGGCTTCCACATCCTTCCATCACTTGGTTTCCCTCAATCACAATCTGATGGATCCTCCTCAGCAATGATGTTGTGCATCACGATCACCATCATTGTTTTGTCTGTGTGGTCCTCACATTCCTATATGTTAAAAATAATCAAAAAAGATACACATTTAAAATTTTATTGAAGATGCTTTTTCCATACATTTCAACATATCTAAAGGAGAGCAGAGGGTAGTGATCAGAAGGTAGAAAGACAAGATGAGAGAAGGAAAAGGAGTGAAGAGGATCCCTTGAGTTAATCGATCATCTGTTTTCAAGGACATACCTGGCAATGATGGAAAAGATCTTCTTGTCTTTCACCAAAGTAGTTAATGAGGCAGCAGACAACTGTATCCCTTTTTCCTCAATGCTCTGTGGCTGTAGGGAAATGCAATTTAGTGAAAAGACTGTTAGTGGAGAGTGGGGAGAGATTTACACACACTAAGTTGGTAAGGAGCTCAACTTTGTGCACAACAAAGCAATTCTTTACAAATTATTTCAATTTTTAATTTAAGTATATCAATAATGACATATTTCCGAAAAAAAAATTAAATTAGCATACGTCATTTAAAGTGTCCAGCAGAAGGTGCATCTTTGAACCAGCAGCCCCTCCTTTAGCACTAAGCTGCAGAAGACCTGGTGTGTTCTCATCAAGCTTTAGCATGAATGTCTCCTCCAAGGAAACTGTCGATAAGTCTGAACTCTTCCTTGATCTAGGACATAAAAGGACAAAAGTCAAATTCTAAATGAAAAACCAGATCTCATAGTCTTCACATGAATGTTTCTTGATGGGAAGAAAAATTATAAAACTATGAGAAGTAACGCTAAACTTTCACAACATAGACACACGTACGCAGACATGCAGGTGAACTGGAGAGAAAATCACGTTGTTTTTAAACAGACCGCGGCGGAGAGCGACTCTCCAGCAGCCATGTTAGCTAACGGAGCTAACAGGTCAACAATATAAAACACGGCAGGCATTTCATATGTTGGCGACATATTACTATTAGTATTTTAAGACGGAACTTCTCATGTGCGGCGAAAATACACTAATGAATTGTTCAGCAAATTATTTGTGCCCGTGTCTCGGTGCAGCGTGACGTGGGAGCAGAGACCTGCAGATACTTAACGACCGTTACAACTTAACCACACCGGCAAAAGTTCAGCTTTAGCGTTAGACTAGTTTCTAACCTTAAAACCAGCGGTAACAAACAGTCATGCATGCTGGCTAATCTCAAAAGCACCGCGAACAAATTAAAACTACCTGCTGTCCAGACAGTTAACAACCATGTTCGCACCATGGAAAAATTCAAATTTTGATGTACAGTATTGGCATGTTACAGAGATGCACATAGAATATAAGTGAAGTATCTAATCATTTGTAATGTTAGAATTTGCATTCGTGCTATCATTCACAGCACAACTATATTAATAGCTTACCTTCAGCTCCGGTTCGATGGCAGAGAGGATCCAGAGTTCCTTGTCCCGCTCTTTCAAAAACCCAGTCTGACGCATGCGCAGCTTTGGAGCACCGGACTTAAGAATCGGGGGTAGATTTTACTGTAATTTCCTGTCTAATAGTTTTTAATGTTAACGAATGGGTAGCACATGTAGAAATTACCCAACATTTCTTCAATCATTGGCTACCTAAAAAAATACATTAAAATTTACACGATTTTTATGGATCATATTTAACACTCGCAAAAATCACTTTTTTCAGTGTGCCCTGAACAAGTTTGCTTTTCTTTATACACAGAGGAGTAAGTTTCCTTTACTTGCAGCTGGGAATGCTTAGAACAGTGCTTCTCAATTATTTTCCGTTACGCCCCCCCTAGCAAGAAGAAAACTATTCGCGCCCCCCACTCCCCACCGTGACTATCCATCTCTGCATAAAATTTTTTCCTTAACATTTTTTTTTTTCGCTGAAAAAACTCTGGCGGCTTATCCGCGTGATTGGGATGTAACGTGTTTAAGTGACGCGCTAATTTATTTGGCTTCATGCTGTCCGCTGCGAGCATTTTTAGACACAGCAAACACACCGGTCTTTCCTCTTCTCCAACTGTAGTCACAGTGAAGCCAAGCGCTAAATACGCTTCGTCGTATTTCTTCTTCTTAGCTTTCGGTTGACTTTCTGTTGTCTCATTATCTTGTCTCTCTCCGCTTTTCTTTTCATCCCTGTGAAAAACTTTTTCATGTTGGGGGTTGTTGAATAACGGAGGCCATAGACAGAACGCAGTCGGAGCTTTTGTTGACTTAACACTGCTAACCAAGGCAAACCTGTTGTCTTGTAAGTCGTAAAATGTTGCACTGTCGCAAACGTGACAGAAGTAACAATGAGAGCGCCACTGCCACCTACTGTGCGCAATTACACTTTATACTAGTTCGGCCAAAAAAAAAAAAAAAAGCCTGTTCCCCAGGATCACACGCGCCCCCCAGCTATCGCACCGCGCCCCCCAAAGGGGGCCCGCCCACTATTTGAGAAGCACTGATCTAGTGTAACATCACATCGCTACACACGCTCTTTTAGCTCGAGATAAATTGTTTAGATGAGCCACAAAAAGAGCTCCACAATTTTGCAACTTTTATGGTTTTTGGTTTATTTTTTAATTTCAAGGAAATGTGCAACATTTACAGATGTGTTCCAAAGATCTGATCAAAATGTTTTTGTTAAGATGTGAAAACAGTGTTGGTATCTCAAACATTAAACTCAGAATCTCAGATGTAACGTTTGTTTGAGAAAACGGATGAAAAATGAGTTTGGGGTTATTCTTATAATTAAATTATTTTATTTATTTTTTTTAAAGGGCATATTTGCCATACAGAGGCCTTGATAAATAATTAAAATGGGAGGAAATGTTTTAAAATGTTCATGTGTTAAATTTCATTCAGATAAAGTGTCATTTTAAAAGTAATTAGAAGGTGTTTTGTAGTGGCAGTTGTTTGTGTGTGGGTTGATTATGGGGGGGGGAGGCTGACATTGTGTTCCTTGGAGGGGGGGCTCACCCTTTCATACTTTGAAAACCCCTGCTTTATATTATTTAAATATTAAAGAAGAATACTAATATATTTCTGTCAAAACAAGATTATGTAGTCCCTGGTTATCAAAAGGGTTATTTTTAGTAAATAAACATTTACCTCAAGTTTTGTAGTGACCTATTAAAACTTTTATTAATCCGAACATATAGTTATTAGTAACCTCCGTATAACACTGGGATACAAAGGTTTTATCAAAGATAAAAGTTACTGTGTGATCTTTCTCTTAGTCTTAATTTAGACTAACAAATTCAAGATGAACTGAACAAAAAAAGTGCAATTCAACATGAAAACTGTGTAGAAAAGGGAAAAACAAGAACAATCCATGAAAGTATGAAAACAGAGAACTTAATCAGAAATCATTTCCGTTACAGGAAGAAATCAATTCTTAGATAAATAAATTGTAATAAATATGAAGCTTTTATGTTGTTGAGCTTATAGTTGTCTGCTTGTATAAAAGAGAAGAAAAAGAGGCTTAGAAATGCCTACATCAGTTTTTTAACCAGCTTTATAGTCAGACTGCAAATTATGTTTTGTTTAGGACATTACTTATAGGCTTTGTTTGTCAACCTGGGTTTAATTCCCAGTCCTGGGGAATCTGCTGCATGTCATTCCCTCCTTTATCCTCCCAATTTCCTGTTCAATCACTGTAAAATAATGGCTACTAGAGTCTAAAACACTTTATTAGAGCCTATAAAACTTTTTACAAAATAAACAAATGGACCAAAAGTCAGAATATGATTACCTCCACATTGTGCTCGTTTCTTCATGTTAACAACTTTCTTCCATTTTCTCTTTTCCTACATAATTAACAGGTTATTTAATACACACACATGCACACATCCCTCCATGGCTGCTATCTTATCGTTGTGTTTTGTTGAGTGTCCCAGTGATCCAAGCAGTTATGCTGTCGGGGCTTCATGCCTCTGGTTGGGCCACCCGATGCGGACGGGTCCAAGGTGAGGCACCAGACCAAGCGCAGCCCAAAGATGCCATATGATCAATAACCATTGGAAACAGGTTGTACTCAACCATACAGGAGATCCTACCCTTACGGAGGCCCTGAGGTGCAAACCACTTCAGCATATTGAAAGCATGATTACAAATTACATAAGCGCCAAAACATGAATGAAGGCACTAAAACGTTGACGAAATGGATCAGGTATGTCCCAGTGGGAGACCTAAGAAATGGCTGATTGCTCTGCGGCTCGTTTTTACTTTGAATCGGAAGTTATTCTGTCTTTAACGTGTTTTTATTAATAAACATGAACGTTCTCGGTGATATTAAAACGCTTTCATTAATGTTGTTGTGCTTTCGTTCATGTTATAGAGCTTTTGTAAATGTGGTTTCAATTTGAACCTCAGGGCCACCGTACACCCTGGAGCCAGGCTGGGGCGCTTTGGGAGCCCCTGGTGGCCAGTGGGTGATATGACAATAAAAATCCTTTAATCCCTGAACAATATCAACAATTTGTGCATCGAGAAATACACTTAGCATACATACTAAGGTAAATGTTATTTAATTTGGTTAAGAATAATTATCGTACTATCAATAAATGACTTCTAATGCATGTTGTCAGTTGCCAGAGCAACAATAACACTTATCAGCTCAGAGGTTCAAACTGATGAAAAGTGAGGATGGATGCTCTCTGCTAAAATATTCCTCGCCATCTTCCATGTTCTTTCAGCAAACAGTGGAAACAGAGTTGTTTTTGGTTTCTCCACCATTGACCTGCTACTTTACCCGCCATTGAAAGTTTTATTAAAGTTTGTCTGCTAGTCTGCAGCTCATGTGACCAAAGCAGGCGAGGAGGTGAAAGGTTAAAACAGTCAACATTGTCTTGTTGGGAAACCCCAAGATCACTGGGAGTCTTAAAAGATACATTTGATTATTTTAGTTCATTTTTATCTACAAAGAGTGGTGCTGCAAAAGTTTGAACAATCGCAAACGGACTGATTAGTGTGAAAAGATGTTCAATATTATTTTATTTTAAACACTTATTTAATGCTGAAACACCGATTCATTGATATTTTAACAATTGAATTGGTTTTTATCAATGCAACCTGGCACAACATTCAGATTTTTGATCTGGGCCCAAATGGAAATGAGTTTGATGTCCCTGACATAAGACAAGAGAATCATGGACTATTTTGACTGTAAACAAGATATTTGGAGGTGGAATGATGTCACACCGCCAGCAAAGGGAGATTCTGTGATGTCACTGGCGATGCCGTCTGTGATGTCATCAACTGCAGAATTGTATGTAACACAATTCTGCATATTTGTCATTGCTCGCAATACTACTGACCAGTTCAGACGCTCGCAAACTCTGAGATATTTTATTGACGATTTCATTGATAGTGTTTGAGAAAATGTCTCAGAAAAGTGCAAGATCAACGATGATGGGATTTAATCCAAGGAGGGGAAACCACCAACACCCCCAAGGCAGGAGCTCTACTGCCAACCCCGATAATATGGAAAGAGAGATCCATCGACTTAACGGCCTTTTGAACAAGGAAAAGGCCAAAAGGCTTTCAGTGAGAGAGAAACTGGAGGAAGAGCTCCAAGGGATGGAGTTCCAAGTCAAGAAGCAGGAGGAACTGAAAGTTGGCTATTTTGATCAGGCCTGCAGAGCGAAGGCCGAACTGGAAAGCCTGCAGAAGTTCAGAGACGTGGAAGTCCTGAAATTTGATGAGATCGCTTCTCAGGCTCAGATTGAAGTGAAAGATTTGGAGAAGGAAGAAATACAGCAAAAATATGAACAAGTGAGGGTCTCCTGCTCTCACACAGCTGAAGCTTTTATGGATGAACTTCATCAAGAGAAA